CATATCACTCGAGTCGCGCTCTTGTAATTACCCGTGTCTCGTCGCTCGTATACCCAGCAACACCAGCAGCAGCAGCAGCAGCAGAGCAGAGCGTTTAAAGAATATAGATTAGTTCTAACTTGGCTATTTGTTTTGCTTTCTTGAATTTTACACCGTCGTCGCCCTGTGCGTTGTCTGTCTGTGTGCACTCCTGCGCGCAAATGCAAAAGACATTGTTGTCAAGAGATATATACGAGCCACGGGTGTAATTATACAAGAGGTAAAACAAATATCAAGTCACGAGAAATTTATTGCTCGAGAAGCTTAAACAATGGGCTTAACGAGTCTGAACAAATAAATACATGACTCGTATACGTTTTAAGCAGCGTCGTGCAAAAAAAAGCTCGCCAACTTTTTTTCAGTATTCTGGCCCTGCGAGCGCGACGGGGCGATATCAAGTCACTCGAAATTTTTGCAATTTAACGGACGATCGGAAAAATCACAGTGCAGATGCTCGGCATCCTTGAATGACGTATGAGACATGAGACACGGATAATTATTTTTCTGATTTTAAATAACTTTCACCGATACACGTCGATGGGCGAATGAAAATTGATCTTTAATGAAAAAGTATCATATACTCCATTGTGTGCAACTTCGTCATTCAAGCGAGATTACAGTATCCCGTGGAAAAAAAAATAAAACACCCTCGCAAGTTGTATTTTCGCATGCGGTCATTTCCGAAAGTGATCCTTGGGTAATTGGAACTTTTTTCAATTATTTCTATTTCGAGCGCGTAACCCGACCATGCAAAGATTCCTCAAAACTGCAATTGACGCAAAACTCTACAAAGTTCGTATACGATTATAATCAGTAAAATCATCGAAGCGAAAATGGAAGTAAAAAAGAGCATCGATTTATGCGACCAAAAACACGCGTTACTACCCTCAATAAAGGGAGTAAACAATATAATTAGTAATGTATACAACAAAGTAACATACACGAGTACACGAATTACGCAGTGGCTTTGTAAAATCGCTCGAGCGCGTAAAAAATCGCTCGATTTACGCATCGTATGTATCGGTCGATCGTCGACACAGGTGCAGAGCCGCCACTGCGATTGTTCTAAAAACAAATTATGAACGGCTGGCAGCGAGTCGCAAGTCGAGCGTTTAAAATTATAAAATACGATAGGGTGCGAGGGACCTTTGCTCGCGAGAAAGAGGAGAACTGCTCGAGTCGATCGCCACGGGGCTGCTTTTTCCTGAACATTTCTATCTTTATCGCCGAGGAAAGGACAATCTTATATTGTCGTCTTATAATACACGCGTATACAGTTATTATCTGCGTGCAGTATCTTGAGGCGACACTGCTATTTTTCTTCTTTTTTCGCTTCCTCTCTATATCGAGTCCCGAGGGACAAAAACCGACGAGATGGCCGCGACTTTGGTTCGCGCGACCGACGCGATGTATGCTGTGTACGTATTTTATTCGTCGACGGCAATGGCGGCTAACACCGAGCAGGGATGGCAATGACGACGGCGACGGCGATGATGATGATGATGATGATGATGATCGCGCTTCAGTACAGAGCCGTTGACGCTCGGCCGCGCGTCCATTTGCGCTCGCTCACGCACTTGCGGTTTTCGCAAATCGCGCCCTGGGATATTGAATTTGTCATGGGCGATTATTAATAATCGATTAGCTTAAACGCTTGTAATTGCAATATGGTCTCGTCGCTCGCTCGCGCGGGCGCGAAGCCATTGGACGTTTGGCCTACGTGAGAGCGTTTCAAATGCTACATTAGAACTCGATATTCTTCGATTATAAATAAAAAAAAAACATTTGATAAATTCCCGCGCGTCTAAAAATAATATCGAAACAACTCCCACGAAAGTATAATCGAACTCGCGAGCGAACGTACGCGTATACGCGTGCTCGAGCGCGTCTGACTAAAGTCGAACATTATCACTTGCGCGCGTTAATCGAGTCGAGAGGAGTCGATACATCGTATATTCTCCATTAAGAAGTTCATCAAGAACTTTTGTCCGAATGTAGGTGGCTCGTTGCTTCAACGACACTTTTTATTGCAAAACTCATTACTTTAAAAACGTGTATCGCTTGAATAATTTCGTACGAAAAATTGTTGCTGGATGGAGAGTAGGTGAGCGAAATCATGATCGACCAAGTTGACGAGCGAAAAGTCGACGTCGGAGTTTCACTTCCCACGTTTAATAGCTAATACATAAAAATAATGAATTTAGACGTCATAATATCGAAAATAAATACATCATTAATCGGAGAAAGCTCTTGCGGAAAGTACAGTTGCGGGGCTGATCGTAATATTTTAACGAACGATAAACTCGCCCTGCCGAGCAAACAAAGACGTATGAGCGCACAAGTGGCGTATCGCGAAACGAACTGCTACCGATATAGATATTAATAACCCATCGGTGAATGTAGGTCTGCGATATCAAAGTAAGAAAGGAATACTATATACGCGCGGCATATGCGTCGAGAAAAATCCGTTGATTATGGACTATGGCGTAAGGAGACGCGCAGCGATACGGCCTCGGAAATGCAAGTTTTGATTGAAAGGCTCTGTTAGACCGAAGTAAAAGAGATGCGCCGCGCGCGCGTAACTATGCGTTTGTGCGTGCAACCAGATTCTATTTGTACATATGCCGTTGTGCAGATAGGTCGGCAAAAAAAGATATTTTACGGAATAAAACTTATTCGATCCCCGCGTATTCTTGTACCTTAGCGAAATTACATCAGAAAAAAATATCGCAAGATAAAGCATTTTGATGTATATACGTGCAAGATACGCGGCATTCAATATAACAATCGAAAAATTTGTACTTTTTGTATGTATAATAATGCACGTATCGTACGTAACTTCGATAATGAAATATCGTACTTGAAATGATGCATGCTCATTGTATCAGCTATCAACTTGACTTTGCACGAGGCAAGAGCGTAGGCGGCGCAATCATTTTCGAGACTTCCTATGTAGCCCCGACGAACAAGAGGGAGAGAGAGAAGAGCGTCGCCAGCTCGTCAGAATTTATTTACTTATGCGTTTGCGTGTAATAACGTCATACGTCGCGCGCGGATCGCATACCGTGCATCGTGTATCGTAAGCGTCGCGGTGTAGGCGCGATCGTATTTTTATCAATTTCCGATAAGGCCAAAAATTAATTAGTCGTGTTTTGAGAGCTGTCTTCTTATCGTACGCGTCGATGAAAAAACGCTCATTCAGGCACTCACGGATATTTTAATGATTCTCACGCGCGGAAATGAAATACATTGCAAAATGCACAAAGAGATGTTTGCGTTCTTAAAATAGAGCGGGTAAAAAAGAAATTCAGTTGATGCACCGCACGTGAGTGAGAAAGATCAAATTTACACGGATTGTCACACTCTGTCGGTTGTGTACACTCGAATTTCGTCTGTTTTTTCCCTCGTTTTACCTTGCTTACAATTTTTCGTACGCTTTTTGTGTGTAATGTGACATTTTAACTTTTATCATAATAATAATAATAACGGATTTACATTTTTCTCGTTTATAACACACTAGTTAAATTAAATACAGTAAAATAAAGAGAGAGTGGGGGAAACATGGTAAAACACGTGATTTTTTTCAATGGACTGATACCTGAATGCGTGAGCGTCAAAAGGGTAATAAACGAAGCACGTTTTTTTCTCAATTACGCAATCATTCGATTTTTTTTCTCGATGAGTCGATAAAAAATATTTCATTTTACTGGAGATGTAATGAACCATTAGTTACATTTTCGTTAGTTAATAAGGTAAATGATCGCGTCAAAAGGTACTTTTTCGTGCAAAATAATTTTAAGTGTGAGCATTTCATTCGTTTCTTAATTGGAGAGTAAGTGTCTCGGAACAGTAAAGTTGAATCTTGCCATGCGATATTATCAAACATAGATTTCTTTTCAACTTTTTTTCCATTTTATGGACCATATTTTCAGAGTACGTATTTTTTATAATAAAATTACGCATTAATGCGTTTCGTGCGATTGACAGTAGCGTATGATGAGGTTTAATTTTCCGATTAAAATGTCCGCAAACTTCGTACAGAAATAATTCTCTCTATCGGTCTTTGTCAAGTTTTCTCTTAAATTCTGCCAAGTGAATAAATGGGAGCAAAGTTACTCGTATCTCGATGTGTCAGCTCAAACATTTGTGCGCAATTTCGACATTTAACATCGTCTTTTTAATTTCTCTGTCTTTTTTTGGTTTAAACTGATTCATACAATTAAAAAAAGTATTAATAAATTTGATATTCATGGTTATAAAAGTAACTAACCGTAAGCTTTGGTTATTAGTAGGTCCATACTTATTCATGCGTGTAGGATGAAGTTCTGATAAGCAAAATTAATCTTAATGGTTTACAAGCCGGATGATGTTAAGGAAGACAAAGGGTGATATATAGCTCACTCTCAGTACTGTTAGCTGCTAAATGCTTGTCGCGCGAGACGCATCAATCACGCTGCGGCTGCACGATTAATCTGGGCAAATTTTAGATTTTAAACGACGCACGGAATAGATTTTTCTATTTCTCGAAGAGTCTCGCCAAGCAATCATTAAATTATAAATATTATTCCGTTGTCTAGACGTATGCGTTGTAAGGTGTTATTCAATGCAGTTGCGCGCGTTAGCGAATCGAAACCGCAAAAATTCTTCAACGAATTGCTATTGCAACACAGCTTCGAAGAAATTAGTCAAGCGCCGTGTCTGTCTGCGCGAGTGCGTTTTATCAATTTTGCATAATATATCGACCATTTTCGCCGTATTATGCATTACTCTTGTTGTATATACGTTGAAAAATGCATCAGCAGAAAAGTATCGCGAAACGTATCGCGATATTTACCCTGACATTATAGGTGTCACACGCTCATTCGTAAGTTTTATCGCTATATATACATCGACTGAAAACTTAATTTGTGTATCGAATAGTGACGCGCGTTGGGCGATAAATTAATATTCGTATGCTCGCGAGAACTCATCAGGTGTGTCGCTGCTCGGCTTGTGACGTCCCGACCACGTGTTTGCGTTCGTAAACTTTGAAAATTAATCAAAATATCAATTTTGTTACAACTTCCCTTATTATAAAATAATAAATCAAGATCAAAGAATTTGTTTACCAGATACACGAGACAATTTTTAATTGTAATGTATTTTTTCTTTTTTTTAGATAAACCCGTCAAACATGATAACGAACCACTACACTTGGGCTATTGTCCTTCTATCTGTCGCCGGTTCTTTTGCGGCTATAGAAAACTACATGGATTATGGCAGTGAGTATTTATCTATGAAATATATTTTTTGTTTTTCAGATAGTCATGATCATTGATATTTGTTGTTTTGCACCTGATTTTCTGTTATTCTCTTGGTTTAACTTCAAATGATAAAATATTCGAATCGATTCAAAATGAGTAACTGTTAAAGAAAGAGCAATCACCAATTAAAAATTCAGCATTTGTAATATCGAATAAAAAGGAAAAAGTAGCTTATTTCAAAGCTAGAAATAAATTAATTCAAGTACAGAAAATTCTCATGCTCACTCCTTGAAATAAAAAGTTCAAGGGCCCCGTATAATTTGCTCTCAGAATTTTTCCCGGCAGAGAAAGCGCGTATGTTATACTAATCATCTCGCGCTATTTGCGTTTTATTTGTGTTCTCACAGACGACGGTGCGAACGGACTCGAGAGCGGCAACAACAACAAGCCAGTCAATTTTCGCGAGCTCTACAAATTTCTGGTCCAGCACAATCCCAACGAAATAAACTGGAACGACTTGATGTACATGCAGCAGCAGGAACATTTGCAGCCGCGCGCCGGACTCGAGCAGCGCTCGCCATCGCTGCGCCTACGCTTCGGAAGGTCTTACTCGAAGTATCCGGTGAGGGTGTGTTAACAATTCTTTTATACGATATATGTGTGTTCTGTGCGTACAGCGAGTATTAGCTCCCTCTCATACACATGGCCTGTAATCAGACGCGCCGTATGAAATACTTGTGCTTGTGATTAGATCGTGAATGTATATACAGAAATTACGGGGCTTTACGCGTGAGACTCGAGACGTTGAAGAAAATTTACCGACGAGGGGTGCAAATGTGTCGGCTCATTTTCATTTTCATTGGTATATACTTATTAGTTTTGTCGGGGTCACACCGAGAGTAAATCACACTTTCTTTTAATTCCTCTAAACAGGATTATTGCGAACTGCTAAAATTGGGGTGTTATTAAAATTCCGACCACGGTATGATACGGATCGTTGTTGGTTGTTATTGCGATTTGGAAAATTTGTTGTTGATTTGAATTAAAAAATTTATTTAGATTGTCGAGGGTTTAAAATTAATCTATTTTTCGAATATTTCGTAGAACCGCGTTGTATCTCGTTCGATTTAATTTCAACCCACTGACTATCCGAAAGCATCGTCGCTTAAAACTTTTTTAACTTTCGAACTCTATCTATAGATAAGAGATACTTAAACTCCACCCACGCATCGAGTAGTACCGAAATAGCTTCTAATTATGTAGCCGAATATTTTGACGCAATTGCTTGAAATTACTACAAATTAGCATTACATCATACAGGATCATCGGGCTGACCTAGTCTTCTTTTGATAAGCGAGCTGCGGCTAAAAGCCGTATCCTGTATAAAGAGGGAAAGCAAGCTTGCTGCTTTAGAGGCAGAGATATCGCGTGGCATGTATAATATACAAAGTAGATTCATATGTGAAACCAGATCTGAAACGAAACTCACGCGTAGACGTTATTTGTGCTCGAGCGGGAGACATGTAATAATATTAAATGCCCTCGTAGCTTTTATCTTCAAGGGGCACGAGTAACTCTGTGCAGTCCAGAAAATGAAAAATCAAAATATCATTTTCAACTCCAATTTGATCGAATAGACATTTTTTTGCGATAAAATTTCATTTACTTCCATTTTCTTTTGCACACTTCACTCTATGGATATGTGATTGATAGAATGTGGATATCTGACCATGACCAATTTGTCTGTTACAGCGTTCACCCTCGCTGCGCTTACGTTTTGGCCGCTCCTACTATCCACCATCCAGCCCGGTAAGTTTTACAATTTATAAAAAAAACTCTCATTGAATTCGCAGTAGATCGAAAATTGTACGAATCTATTCAACTTTTTGTATGCCAGGATATTTTTTATATACAGTATGACGTCATATAAAAGTGATGAAAGTCCGTGTATTGTCAGGCACACCTAAAATCAGAATAGTGGACGAGTTTAGCCGTTCGACACATACTTTTTTACTCGAATTCGTGATAATGAAAGTTTGCTTTTGTAGATTAAAAATAGAAAAATTTTGAATTGATAAATTTGGAAAACAGATGTTACGAAATGAATAATCATTCCACGTGATAAGGAAATCGAGCCGTATCGATTAATTTTTTGGAAATGAAAATTCAGTCACAAATGAGGTAATATTTTAAGAACGAGGAAATTACGTCTTCTTCGTTGTCGAGTAGCGCTACGGAAGTGATAATAATCTAACGTAACATGCAAAAATATATAGATATAAATGCATGTGCTACACACCCCTCCAGTTACGAGTGTCATAGCAGTGGTAGAATTTCGAAGCGTAAATGGCCTATTCATCTGCTTATAGGTATTATGATGATGAAGTATTATTATCTTCCTGCTGGATTTTTCAAGTCTTTCAAGCTTATAACATATTTGTAAGCCTCTCTACGCTTTCGTATTAAAAGACGAAAATTTTGAATTCGACAAATTGCTCGCGCATAAACGATCTTTCGTAACTCAAAAATATCTTATATTCGTTTCAACATTCTTTTCATAAACATTTGTAACTATTTTTTTTTAAAGCTAATTTTATTTTACATATATAACGAAACTTGTGCGAAAAAAACTCAAAATTAGGTTGCTTCATACGTTGGAAGCTTCCTTATTCAATTATTTAAAAGAAATTTAACTAAAATAAAAATTTGTCTGATGAACGTAACAGGAAATTCTCGATTACGCAATCGTGTCAATAATTTAATTGATTACTAAGTTGAGTTCGCGATGAAAGAGACTAGTCTTTACGATCAAAAATTCATGACTTTCACAGGAAGCTAGAAAATCATTAAACTTAACCCTTCGACGTAGAACGTAATCAATAAAAATTAATAATTTGACTTTTTGAATTTAAACTCAATAAAAAAGCAAAAATTTATTCGCGTTGCACAATTTCAATATTTGCATAGAATAAAAAAATGAGAAAGGATTTTTATTGCAGTAAAAGTTATGGGCTACTAAAAAAATATTTTCTTAGCATATTGTATTTGGGCGAATCTTGTACTATAAGCTACATAGCTTTCAACCTCATAACCCCCGGGCTTTTCGTAATTTTTTCATGCAACATGTTGACAATGGAATATGATTCTGAAATGATAAAATTGAAACGAATATACGTATATATATGTCTCTTAATTACAAAAACACGTTTTTGCTACCGATGACAGATGACGCGCTCAGCTGTCTCATTTTCGTACTTACCTGCGACAGACCGTATAAATTTATCCATTATTTTTACTTGGCTCATGTCACGTTTACCCTGGTGTACAAATCATTCCGCTTAAATGAAACGTTGTAAGCTTATAACTTGTCGAAAAAAAATTATAACTTTTTTTTATTCTTTTTTATTCTTTTTGAAAACCACTATTTTATCAATTAATTTCTTGCCACTGCACCATTTTGATTCGAAATGATACGGAATAAAGATGATTTCAAATGTTTTTGTGTCATGGCCGAGAAGCCATGAGGTGTACGTAATTGCGATCGATCTTGGAAACGACGTATAGAATCTTAGAAAGCAAAACTTTTATTTCATCGATCTCCGACTCTCAAGTTTATAGAGTAAGAAAGAAAAGTGAGCGCGAAAACAATGATTAAATTTTGTGTTGCAGGTCGGACAGGGCGACGACAGCACGTCTGCAGCAGCGTCGGCGGCAGCACTCGAAGCAAACTAATATAAGTAAATCTCTTATAATCAGTGACTAAATTTATATATGTATATTGTATATATACGCACCACTGTATGGTCGTATGTTAGTTTTTTTTCAGTCGAAAAACAAAAAAAAAGCAGTAGATATACCTTTGTTGGGTTTTGTACAAAGCGTATACGTTACAGTATTTTAATCGTAATTAATTTATTAGTAACACGTGTTGAACTATTTTTTTATTTTTTGAGATTTTTTTAAGTAAAAAAAAAAATCCTACGTTCGTGGTGGTACATTTAGTGATTTCCAATGCATCAGAACTGATCGATCACACATGAGGTGTCATTAGAAAATAAAAATAGTATTATTCGTTTAGGTAGGCTTTTATTTTGAATTTCATTCCAATGAATATAAGCTTGATATGGCTAAAAGTAATTATATGAATGGCCTAAGTGAGGAGAATCATTCTAATCGAAGCAGTATGATATTTTTGACGTTTATTATTAAAAGGCGAAAATAATTGCAAAGGAGAGAAACGAACTGAGTAGTGTCATTTTTATAATAAAGCTGTTCCTCCATATTACATGTAATTTATATATTAAATATATAGTTAAGAAGTTATTCAAGAATATTCGTTAAACTATAAAATCATAATATATGTATTATGCGTAATTGTGAAAAATTTAACGATCAATTCAATTGTTAAAAATTTATAGCAGAAAAACAAAATACTACAAACAGTGACCAAAAAAATCATAACTCATGCGATGCGTCAAGTGATACTCATTTCATTGGTCAAACGCATATTGCAAAAATTCCAAATCTCTATTATTGTACGTGTACTCTCAGCTAGAGATCTGTTATATATTTATCATACTTGCTCTTACTCATACCCGGTATGTGTATGTTTAAATTAAAAATCTATACTAATCTAAAATAAAAATACGGAAGGCTCAAGTGAAAAAAGTATACGAAGGTATGTTAAAACTTGCAACGTGAAGGTTCATATTAAATAATATTATATTGCCTTTTATGATTGCACATTTATCCTCGCTTTGTTGTTTCGTATAAGTAGAACAAAAAAATTAACCAAAAAAGAAAAAAAAGGACAACGATGGATACATTTTATCAGTAAAAATTATATTTTGTCGAACATTACCGTTGAGTCAAGGAACGACTGGACATTTTTTTGTTAAATCGAAAAATTTATAAGATCGATATAAATTCGACCTAGACGAATCAATTAATGTTACGTAGATGTATTCTGGTGCCTTTAAGTATTCATTTATAGCGAATTTGATTTCATTCCAAAGATTGTTGAAAAATGATTTAATTAATTAATGCCACGATAAATTTTATTATTTGTGATTTTTATGATTTTAAAATTGTACGATCGCCTGGTTTGCGTTCTTATTAAGTTTTTATTATGTCACTTATAGGAGAAAATTCACATTCATAATTTGTAAGTGATATTGAGAAAGTAAAGAAGTATTATGAATTTTAAGGAATATTTCTTACTTCTCTTGTTTCATCCAGTAAAATAGAAATATTAATAAAATAAATAATAATATGAACATAAATGAGTATTCGATATTATTTTTCCTTCATATATTTGTACATTGACCAGTACAAGATATTACTATTCCAGATCGGTATCAAAAATTGTTCTCTTTTCTGTAAAAAGATTAGAAATCATTAGTTTTTTTCTCCAAATGTACATTTTCAACTAAAAACAAATCATTTACCAGGAGTGCAAATTTGTTTGAGATAACTAGCAGCTTCTCGCTCGTGCTTCGGCAGTTTAGATTTTTCTACAATCAATTCGGTTCTGCAGAGTACTTCCTGTCTTACACGATCGGTGTCTATCCCAAGAGGTATTTTGAACATCAATTCCCAGGGTAACGAGTCGTAATTGTGAAGCAATCGATCGAAGGGAAACTCATCGCCGATGTGGAACATGGTGTGGGTCAACGGCGGAACTTTGACAGGATGAAGTGCCGAGATTTTTGCGTCCGAAACCTTTTGGCCTTTGAGAATTTTCAATAAATGATCCGACGTGCGCAACAAGTACTCGTACGCAATCTGACAAAAGAGAAATATGAAAAAGACTGAAATTTTTATTTCAAAATTATCGATTGCCTTTTTTCTTTTTTCGCTTCGTCTAATGGACACGTGGCATCGCGCGCAACGTTGCTGCCACTATAATGTTTCGATTTTTATGAGTCGTCGTTTATGCCGTAAAAAAAGCCTCGGATGGCTTCGCCTGTTGCATAACAACTTTTACCCTACATCAGTACGCGGTGAAAAATCGAGCTCCTTTGTAGTGTAAAGCGATGTCGTACATGTGTACTAGACATTAATTTGAAAAGTTAAATTGATTGCGATGTTTTATAGAAGCTGCGAGCAGCAAAAAGTTTACGTTCGCCATAATACATATTTTATCGTAGTTCGTCGATTGAAAGCATAACGAGATGAATATAGAAATGTTTCAAGCGACAGCTGGAATATGCAGCAGGTAAAAAGTTTGAATATTCTTACTCTCATTGCTCGTTTTCCGATGTCCGAACACAATACCAAATCGCCTCTGATGTTGCCGAAAGCCCGAGTCTTTTCCGAACCCCTCCAGTGGTCGTTTTCGGCGTTTTCCTTGATTGTTTTGCGCACATTTTCCACAAAACTTTTTATTTGGGCAGTGTGTCGGTCTGCTTCGTCGATAGCGCATAGACCTTCGGCTATGGCTAGAGCCATCGCTCCACGATCTTGAGGATCTAATGGTTTCGCATCATTAGATTGTTCTTGCGGTTGTTTGGAGTCATAATTCGGAGGATGTAATGGATATTTTTTACTCTCTTCCAAAAGCGACGTGTACAAAGCTGCACACAGTATCTATCCAAAGTGAATAGTAATTTCATGTACATTCACAATGATCGGAATAGACGAAAACCACCTCAATCATTTTTTAATTTAATTATATTATACCTGGAGAATCACGGAATTTCCGATTGGTCGACAGTGAGCTGGAATGTTCTCGTCCATGGCGATGGCTATTCGGAAAATTCCAATGGGGATGCATTCAAAAATTTCTTCGAAAAGATCCAGTACCGACGACATCATTTGATACATGCTTGCGCCTGTCTTTGATGTTGAGATTAACATTGCAATAAATGTATTAAAATTTGGCTTATGACTGATTGCAGTTGCACAATTTGTTTCAGCGTGCATCGATCGTAAAATTATACATAAATTATTGAAATGGTACAAGAAAAATAAAAGTATACCACAATTAATGCAAAAGTTTGATAATTGTATTGATCTAAACCTATTCAACGTAGAAAACTTTGAATTCACGGATTTTCGCTAAATAAAATATGCTTATTTCATTAATGAAAATATTTTTCACGTGTGCAAAATAAAGGAGCAAACGAACGCGTGCAGTATAATTTTTTTGTTCATCGTGCGTCACGAATTTAAAATTTTCATTTTTGTTTTGATATGAAAACAAGTTTTTTCCAGTGTACACTGGATTTGTGTTATTTTTGAAACGCATAATACGTGGCTTTTATTTCAACCTGATTAATATACCTTTGACGAATCGAGTACAGCAGTGGTGATAGGTTTGATTGCTGGTAATATATTAACGATGAGTGCATTGAGCCAAGGAGGTCTCGATTGATTCCACACCTTCATCGAGCAGTTGTTATTTTTATCTCCGTTTTTTATTCATCGTTGTAGAAAATCAAATCCGATCGTACCTGATATTTGTCAACGTAATTGGACCAGTTAGGATCCTCTTTAACAGCTGGTATGAAAACATTGGTCGGCTCGAAATTAGCCTCTATCAGTATGTAAGTGAGCGCGTAGAGGCCCATCGGAGCAGTGAGACGCAGCTCCCTCGTGCATGTGCCGCCGTGGCATAGAAAACCTCCGCACGTATCGGGCTCCTTTTCGTCGGCGTCTTTGCCGTGCTTCTTCGTTTCCCGCAATTTCAACGGCTCGCTCGTTTCGATCTCGGTGAAGCCAATGCATTGCCGAATTAGAATGGACATTAGCAAGCGACCCACTACGCTTTCAGCCGTATCCAATACCTACGTGCGTCAGAAAGGGCCACATTGTAGAATTTTTTTCTCGCGCAACTGCTGCGGCAGGCGCATGCACATTCGTATTCATTATGTACTTGGATTACTTGACCCCATTGGGGCTGGGGTTGGGCTTTGAGCACATTAAGCTCGACGATGACCGCCTGCTTGTCGTCGATTTTTTTGTAAATGTCCGATCTCGAGCCACCGAAGATGTGCGGGGCCGCTACGTAGAGCCACGGGGCTGGTCCTCCGCCTCTTGGATTGCAAATGGCCAAGTCGTCTATGCCGTTGCGAAACACCTAAAAGTTGACGCGCTCGTCGACGAGTTAGCTTCGATTCTCTCTGTTCGAAATATTGTCTAGCTGTATATCTCACATACTGCGCTTGAAGTGCGTATACGTGTATACGTTAGCCAAAAGTCCGAGCGTGAAATTAATCAAGCGCGCGGATATTTCATTATAATTCGAGAGGCTTAAAGTTGGAGTCCGAGCGATTGATTTTAGCGGAGTTGCCTTGAAAAGTCCCTCGAGCGGTAATCGATATGCAAACGACACGACGCGATGCTGCGTGCACTCTCGAGTATAGTCGACGTCGAATCGAAGATTTAGCCAGATCAAATCGCGCCGTGCGGCATTATATCAACTTTGGTTTTTCGCTCTCGGCTGTTATACGTATTTCAATTTATAACAGAGACATATAGAATCGCGAATTCAGGACGCGGGGGCAAAACAGATGCAGATTTTCTCCATTTCGTATAATTTCCAACGAAACTCGAACGGATACAAAGAGCGGCCTCGTGCACGCAGAGAGAAAGAGAGAGACAAAGAGGAGCAGCAGCATCAGCAGCGTTATAGTACCGAGCGATACAAATAGAAATAGCGCGAGCGCGCGCAAAATCGATCGCGGCTCGGTTTGGCAATCACCTGAAAGAGCACTCGAAGCGGAGCGCCTCGCAGCAGAAAGCAAACAAGCAAGTGTCCGCACTTGGCCTGTATGTCCCTTGCGAAAATCGACAGTCGCTTGAGCTTGACGCCGATCATTTCGTCACCGGACACGCAGCAGTGCAGCGCCAGATAGGCCGAGCAGCTCAGCACGTTCAATCCGTCGGCCCAGAATTGCATCGAGCGTTCGAGACTTGGCCTAGCCTGCATCAAGTGCAAATAACGCAACGAGCAATGTTAATTGTTTTTCAAGCATCCTTTCTTCGTGGATAACTATTCGTATGTGTAACACATGCTTCGAAGCTTATCAGTTTCAAATTATTTGTAATCATAATTCATTTTTACTTTCTCATACATCAATGTTATATTTCTTACATCTAAATAACGCGTGACGATGATGGTCAACGATTCGTTCAGCATACCGGAAAAGATGCGTTGGGCAGTTTTTGGTGAGACTGTATTCCACAAATCCGTTTTAGTACCTAGACATTAATGTGAAGGTTTAATCTTGATCATGTAGCCGATTGAATAAGCTATCCACGAATGCGTTTCAGTTTTTTTTTACCTTTCATGTAGAGCCACCACATTTGATAGATGAAGGAACACCTTTTCTTCTCAAAAAATGGCTCCTCGTCGTCCCATCCGAGCGACTCTGCCTCGTTCAGGATGTACAAGCTTATGAGGCGTTTATGCAGATCCAACAGGCGGTCGGCAATCGTTTCGACCATTTCGCTGAAAATCTCGTACTGCTTCCACAGCTGCTCGCTGAGTAGCCGAGTTCGACAATCAACAAATCAAGTAGTTTCCATTAGCTTCTCTAACAAATCGTGTAATTGTTTACGAAAGAATTTCAAACTCTCGAATTGGAGACAATAGATAAATTGCGTTAGCTCGAATGAGCTTGCACACGGCATCGCTACGGTCATTTGCATGAATTCGAAATTTCAAACATCGGAGCCTTGAAGGGTAAAGATGTTAATCTAGGAAGGATGCCGAGGAAAATCATGCCGTTGAAGCACCTGAACGCTCGAGTTTTGTACGTTGTAACGATGAAAAGGCGAAAGTTACGCATTCTCGGGGCCAACTTTTCTTTTCTCGAAGAAACTTGAAACTCGATAAAATGGGCAGAAAATCGACCGCGAGGAATAAAAATTCAAGGAATAATTAATTCATTTATGGCGAACAAAAAACAAAGGAAGCAGAAGGAGAGGAAAAAAGAATAACCAAGGAAAAAAGTACACAAAGTTGCCTCCGCACGTGCGTTATGGCTCTTTGTTGGCCGAGCTTGAGCGCGAGAGAAAGAACGGCGCTGCTATATATGTATATTACGCGGCCACAACACGCGTACGAGAGAGAACAATCGATAAAAAACACGTGTTGATGCGCGCGAGCTGCGAACACACATATATTATAGGTGTTCATACATATACGAGCAGCGTCTCGTCGTCTCTCATGTGTATGCCGCGTGCTGTAGACTGGGAAAAGCCAGGCAAATTTTTTGCAAACTTTCGAAGCCATTTTCGTGGCTTTTTTTATAGCGCTCGACTCTCGTACACGAGCCTGAAATAATACATATATGCCGTATTTTAACTGCACGACGCGCGCACAACGAGTTACGCATACGACCAACTACTTTTCCTATTTTCGCATCGTTCTCGTTGCGTTTTTGCGTACCTCACTTCTTCGGAAATTTGGGGTTTGGCAGCCTTGTGATAGAGCCAGATGGTGTTGCGGATGAGGGCCGCCGCGCCGAGGGTGGCCGTAAGCACGGTCAGATCGGCGTGATCCAAGGACTCTTGTACGAGCTTGTGCAGATGCTCTGTGGAGTCGACGCGTTCAAATTTTATCGGAAGAAACGTCGGATAGGAGCTTGCGGTTAATTCTAGCTTACCGAGAAGTTGCTCGGCGGTCTCGATGATGAGGCTGATTATTTCATCGGGTTGAACTTTTTTCACGACGGGCTCGAGATCGTCGTCGCCGAGTTCTCCGGAGTCCTGCTGATCCTTTTTCGGTGGACTGAGGCCCGACGACTCTACGAAGACCAGCTCGAACTCGGCTTCCCACCACATGACCATCTTCACGGCGGCGAAGGACGCGTGACGCGGAAAATCGAACTGCCCGCCGGACACTCGAACGCAAAGCGGCTCTCTCAGTACAGTCTGTTGCTCCTTTCGATAACGTGCGTGGAAAAAAAGAAAACTTTAATCGAAAGCTCCAGGAAAGCGGGGTCAACGCTTTTACAGTTATGAGTTCGTTCGCTGGCGTTCTCCCGCATTACACATAGAAAAGTTCAAGAAACTTATTTCTCGCATCCGTCATATGAGGAATTTATAAAAGGTCTTCGTAGAAATACATGCGTATATTGTTGCCTACCTCGTAATATTGCATGTCCCGTTGGAGTAAAATCCGCACCCGATCCAAAAGATTTCCATCTTCCATTATCTCCATCTTGATAATTTGCTAAAATACAAACAGAGAAAGTCATGTTAAATTCAGCATGCAAGTTCGTTCACGCTCGAATGAGTTCCAGAATATATCCGAATTTACGAGTGCTTGACAATAAAATTTATTCAATTTTGCGCGTCAACGTTACTTTTTTTAATTTGTTCAGAAAATTTTTGTGGATAAATTTTATGGTCTTAGAAATAAATGATTCAACAAAATGAATACAGTAAAGAATATTTATTAATTTCTGACTATTTACAATTATTATTTACATAAATATAAAGTACTCTCAATCAATTTTAATGCACCATAGAGAAGTGTATCACCGTAGCTTGCCTGCCGCATTTGCAGATACGTGATTCTTGATTAACAAAATTTTTCCTCATTTTATTATGTACAAAATCGAAGTCTTATGAGCAGAATTTAAACTAGTCATTTTTCTCTGGTACTGTAAGAGCAATTATCAAATGCAACAGGACCCTTGACAATATCTGGAATTTCTTCACTTAATAATTCATGCATAGATTTCCCATCATGTTTGTATATCCAAGTTCCATCTATGAAATCATATCTTTTAGGACCAGATTTTGGTGAAGATAGCCAGATTTGTAAGTTTGGCACTTGTCTATTGATAACATATGTACCATATTCTTTGCCAAATTTTACAGTTAAAACACCATCCTGAAAGAATGCAATAAGCCAATTAAAAAAATATTCATGCACTAGAATTAAGTGACAGTAGAGATACTTGCCCCATAGCATACATCTGCATCCTGTAAGTGACTTGCATCTTCAATAAGTTCATCAAAATACTCTGATAAAGATTCTAAAGTTTCATTGGAAATTTTTTCGAAATTCATAGACACAAGTTCCCTAAAAATAAAAAGTAAATATGAATAAAACTTCGATTATAAAAATAAATTCATAAAAAATTGTGCATTTAAAAGCATTGTGGTGCAGTAATTTGATTTATGTGAAAGTACCGTAACTTCTTACTTACATTACATTCCAATAACAATAAACAATTTCACTATCAATAAATACTTTTCACTTTAAAGTCAATGATAAGCCGACAATCGACCCACAATGCAATTAAAGAACAATTAAAACATCGTAAATTATATTATAGATTAAAATGTATGCTTATTATTCGAATAAATTAAAAAAGTACTCACTGTTCCGAGGACGAATGTCTTTTGGAATCAAGTTGCAGTAATTTTTCTCCCAAAAATGACCTTTGTTTTTGAGTAAAGCTTTTCAAAACAACATTTTCATCGCGTGTCAAATAAACATAACCTCTGGATTGCACTGGAAGGCAGCTGTCAGTCTTGAATAACGATATTGTCACAAATCTTTGACTCTTCAAGCGAGAGGAAAACAAATTCAGCCTCGTGCTCCTGGCCACTGTACCGATCATTCTCTTGTTATTTCGATAAGTCGTATCGATCAAACTTTCAAAAAGCTGCAGCGAGAAACTGCAGTCCTGGTGCACTTGTCGTCCGCGCGGTGTTATTGCGATCGGAGCTCGCTCTGGCGAATCGCCAACGAATCAGCTGAGATTTCTCTTTGAACGATGGATGATACACACGACTGCATCGTAAATATGGTATCGAGTGTTCGAACGAGGAAAACCGATCGCGATTCACGTGCTCGCGAAGAGCTGCAATTTGAAGTGGCCCCTCCCCTCGTCCCCCGAGCGGCCGCACCACGCTATCCTTGACATTCGATCGTTTATTATTTTCTTCATTTTTCTCGTAAACTCATCGATGCTGCGGCGGTCGCGTCTCGATCGCAGCATCTCTCGAGTTTGTAACGCGTATTATCCGCGAGCCGAAGCGACGATGCGGCGCGTATGAATGTCAACGATCGGCGCGAGGAAAATCGCCAAGAAGATGGAGGCATCGTCGGACGTCGCCGCCGCTGCCGCAGCGTCCAGTCGGTTTTTATGGACTCTAGTTCTGGTTCTGATCAATTTCACGAATGTCAACGTTTTTTCTACGGCTCAAAGCTCGACCGGTATGTACGTGCACAAGTGAATATGTAATTAATTTTTATCCTGCGTATAAGTCTCGCGAGCGGTCACGATTCCCGATGTGCATTCGATCGTGCGTATTTTCAGATCACATATATAGTAATCATCGAGTCTTTCGATGATTAGCGCGTTTAATAAATTGTGTATCATCTTTTTTTTTTCAAGGTCGACTGCTGTTCGAAGAAAACTTTGACGGCGAGAGTCTAAATAAATCTGTATGGAAGAGAGAAATCAAAATACCATTAGAGCCGGTAAGTAATAATATTGTAATTCATTATCGCTATTTTTCAATGAAAAGCTTTGCCTTGGAGCTACATACGTTACTTTGATTGCAAATCATTTTTCAACGTTGACAAAGAATCGCATGTAAACTTTTACGATTGCACCAAGGCAAATTTTATATGGGCAATAAAGCGGTGATCCACGCATCGCTGTCTTTCCTCTTTATTTAATGCAATTTTACCGTTGGTTCCTGCAGGATTACGAATTTTGCGTGTTTCACAAACACGATGAAAACCTCGAGCTGAAGAGAGGAGTTTTGCGAATAACGCCAAGGTTATTCGAGGACATCTACGGCGAGGATTCCATCTACATCGGACAGTTGAGACTTGCCGAGTGAGTTTCTCGTTTTACTTAACGCGTCCCGAAAAATAAAAATATACGAAACGCACTCGTGCAATAGCGGTAAAAGTCCGTTACCCAAAATTATTCACGCCATCCGGCAGAGAAAAAAGAGAAAAAAAAACATCCTTTCATTGTGTCCTCTTTTATAGCTGCACGAGCACGAGTCCTCGAGAATGCAGTCAGCAGGCCTCGTCGTATCACGTTCTGCCACCTGTTATTTCAGCTAAAATCACAACGAAAGACCAATTCGAATTTCGATATGGTGTCGTTGAGGTACGAGCCAAATTTCCAGAAGGAGATTGGCTTTATCCAGGTAATACTTACGTTTGTTATACATACTGGCTCTAATAGATTAATTTTTTGTTCGCGTTTATAAGTTACAAAAAAATGACCGGCGCCGATTGTTGTTGATCGGTTCATTAATCTCACTTAAGAAGCTCCGTGAATAATGCGATAAATTTCACGACTCGAGGTAAGATTCAATCGAAGCTGTTACCAGCTTCGATCGCTATCTCGCGGATATTTTCCAGAAAAAAAAACTATAATCTTTTTTTCGCGAAGATTTCCTCGTGTATTTCCCAGACAAAGAGTCAACGTTTTTTCCCCTATATTCCGCGCAGAAATGTGGCTGGAGCCCGTGTACAAGAGTTACGAGAGCGGCTCGGCCAATGCTCGGATCGATTTGGGCCGCAGCCGGGGCAACGCCCTGCTGACGAAAATCGGCGACACCTACAAGGATTACGGCGCGCGGATGGTGGAGTTCGGCGTGGCCAACGGCACCGGCAACGAGTTTCACGAGGAGAACGTGAACAAGTTGCGCCGAAACGGCGGCGCTTGGAACAAAGAGTTTCACATTTACAAGACCACTTGGTCGCCGAAGGGCTTCAGCTTTCACGTGGACGGCCAATTGGTCGGCAAATTGCTGCCCAGCGAGAATTCCGGATGGACCACTTATACCGAGGAGGCGCTCGACAAGCTCACGACTCCGTTCGATGAAAAGGTTTGGGCAGTTTTTCATCGTTGCGCGTGAAAAAATCAGGTTGTGCGTTATAAAAATCAATCAATGAAAAATTATACTCGGGGCATTTTTAACGGGGAAAATTAAATTTACTCGCGCAGACACGTGCATAATTATGACAAATTGATCAACTTCATCGCGTTCGAGGTAACGTCATAGGATATTTTTCTACTTACTCATCGCGATGACAATAAAAATGGACGGAGAGTGAAAATTTATTGTTTTTAGTTTTATCTGTCAATCGGATTGGGAGTCGGAGGTGTTCGCGCGTTTCCTGATGGCACTCAGACGCGATCTTACGTAAAGCCGTGGAGAAACATCAATGCAAAGGTAAACAAAAATTTATAAATAGACGAGAGAATATAATTTTTGTTCCGCTAACGTTTTTATTGCTACTTTTACGCACCTTTCAGGCAATGCTGTTCTTTTGGCAAGCCAAAACGTCGTGGTTCCCGAGCTGGCAGCCCAACCAAGGAGCACAGACTGCATTAGAGATAGACTACGTACGAGTTTATTCGCTCGATTAGAGAATAAGCATCTATCAGCCATGTCCATTGACTCTTGACAATAGAATCATGATTGCCGGTATCGACTATCGATGGCGTACGAAATTATAATATTCCTTTTTTATGATTCAAAAACAATAAATGAGACTTTAAGAGTATTTGTAATTTTTGGATTATAAATTTTCATAAATCAGACCAAGGACCAATTAATCAATCGATCATCCCCAATAGTTTGTTGATTATTACTTGAGAGTATCGAAGTTTTCATCGAAAGATTTCATCTTACAAATAAAATGTAAAAAAGCTGTGTATTTTTAAATATATAACGTTCTAGTTTACTGGATCATCTAATTAGCATAACTGCCCTGCAATGGTCGATTCTCGTTTTGGTTTTTACAAGATGGTAAAAAGACTAAATACACACGCGAGACGATGAAAAAATGCCATCGAGCAGAAAAAAAAGACCGCCGCATACGCCTTGGGTATGCATTTTGTATCATCATTACGTGCAGACGATCGAGGCATCGAGCTTCGTGAGCGAAATGTACGATAATAAAAGATGCATATCTTACGAAGCCGCGCGCGAGTGGCCAGAGAGGACGAGGGAAGAGAAAGGATCTTTCAACGAGACGAAGCTCCATGTCATCTTTTTATTATGCTTCGAGCGCGCCACTGAATTGCCGTCAGGAATGACAATAATCGTCTCGCTTCAACCTGCGTATTCCGTTCAAATACAGCAAGGTCGAGTGAGTTTGCGCTCTTATCCGCCCTATATGTGGGTTTTTTTTTTTATCTCTTGGGAGTCAATGTCAATGTTATACTTGTACGCGCGGCCGAGGAAACCGGTTGGGAATCGTTACAATAATATGTGTACACACTTCAGATCGTTGATGCTGCTGTATCTTGAAAACTTATTGTTTCAAAAACACTTCGCAGAAGCTGCTTCTGCTGCTACTGTTGCTGCTGCTGCTGATGATGGTTATGGTCTCAAGGTGGTAGGGAGGAAATTATATTCTGAAAAAGGAGGTGGTAAAAGAGCGGAATGGATTATCAATTTTATACGAGTACGCTCGCGGACGATCGGTTAAACAAAATCGAAACATGAGAGACAGTCGAGTTCCTGCTGTTGTTTTGAACGCGAATAAATACACGAAATTCGTGCTGCCTGTTGTGTACTTTAACATTAACTAAGATATCGTTATCAGTTTCTTCAAGAAAATAGAATTCAATGGGTAGAAAATTACGGAAAAAGTAAAAAATAATAATTTTTAAATTAAGTGAGATCAAGTAAAAAGTAACTTTTACGTTTCAAAAAGATTACTCTGCTGATACAAATTCATTGTGTAATATTTTTTAGGCAATTGCAGTGCTAAATATTAAGAAATAAATATATAATTAAAAAAATCAACCGTTGGAACAATGAAGATTATAATATTACTTTTCATAGGAATAGTTACAATAGAAATTTGTAATGGTGCAAATTTACGTCGCTTATTTCGAATGAAAAGAGCTGGTAATTTCCATGACATGAAAAATTGTCAATTTTTTGTATATACATTTCAGTTTTTATTTTATCTAATACATTAAAGTTTTTTAAAGTACTATAAATTACTGTTTGTGTGTAGAATCAGATTTTATTCTACGAAGTTGCATAGCGACAGCTCAGTTGACAAGAAAACATAGAATAAATGATGCATCACGTTTGGTAGTAGAAGAGACAAATTTACCATATCTTGCTTCAGCTTCATTGAAACTAGATAATTCCAAGTTCAAGGGTCCAAATAGTATTAAGCATTTGAGAAGTGGCTCAAGATTCAAATCAAAGTCTAAAGGTAGAAACTTGATATTAAAAAAAATAGATTCCCCACTTGGTACAGTTGATGTTCAACCGATTCGTCAAGACTTTCCAAAGGCTTTCAAGAAAAAAGATCCTCTTCCAGAACTTGACAGACGAGGATCAGCCAGAAATTTGGATACAGATACACCTATCACTGTAGTTCATACTTTAAAGCCAAAAATAATGTAGTCTGATAATTTTTATAAAACAATTTATTTAATGCGAATAATCACATTAGTAACAAACCTACTGATCTAATATACCATTTACAGTTTTTTAACTTGGAGGAGAACTGACTGATTCTGGTAGTGGTTTAATTTCAACCTAAAAAACAAAGTAACAATTTTTAAAACATCAACAAAGACAATCAATAAATCTTTTTTTTTTCACAAAATTAGAAAGTTCTTGAAATTAATTTTTTTTATCTAACTCACCATTGTCACTTTCATTGCAACGCCTTCGGGTAAATTTCTTTGAATATACTCTAAGAAGGTATCAGCAGTTGATCCAGTTAGTTTCAAGAAGTTTAAAAAACGGTAATAAGTCCTCATTTCATATTGCACACGATGCTTTTTGTGAACATGTTTTGACTTGAGAACAGTCCATCTTTGATGATTTGCTTTACGTGGGGCATAGCTAAAAATAAATAAATTACATAGCTTATCGATAAGTATGATAAACAAAAAAATCTAAAAAACAAATAATATTCTTACTTTTCTCCAACTGTTATTCCTAAATGATTTGCTGCAGTGGTGGCAAATATTCCATAACTTTTCAATACTGCACTGTCATTACCTCGAACTTCAATTTCTACTTTTTTGTATAACTTATCGGGTTGAACCTGCATGCATACATAGTTTTTTTAGTGTCTTGAAATTATAAAAATATTATTCATCAAAATATTAATCTATTTACTTGTTCTGTAGATGGTAAATTACTTGAAAATAATCTGCTGACCACAGGAAAGATGAGATTAATTGGTTCCGATTGTCTCAAACTTGGACTAGACAGTACTTTTGTTATCTAAAATAATAAATTATTTAAATACCATGCGACATAATTTTAACCGCTAACCTCAATTTCGTATTTCTACATCTAAAAACTCACTCTCGATAACATTTTGTTTATTTTAATTATTCGAATTAATATAAGTAGTTTTTGAAGAATGTTTAAACTTTAAACTTATGTTATATGAACTCATGTAATATAATCTTGTCAGTTTATACTTAAATCAATGATTATAATAATGACATCTCTACAGAATGTTAGTGTCTGCTTCTACTTATGCCTACTTTATCGATAGAACCGAAAAACGTATCATAATGAAGAGAATAACTTCAAACAATTCTCAATCGAATTGAGCTTGACAATTATAATTTTCAGCCAAACTTAAATTTTTATGAAAAATTTGTTTGACATACGAATAAAGTTATATAAAAAATATAGTTTAATAAAAAAATAAAAATTTAAGTTTTTTGTTCAAATTAACATGATGGTCGAAATTAAAAAGAAAGTGAACAAGATTAAGGTCATAAATAAATTTATTCAAGTAAGTTTTTAATAAATCAATTTATGTAATAAAGACAATTTACAAAGTTATTGATTTATAAAATTGGAACAAGTCTTCTTGTTCTAAATACATTTTATCATTATGAAAAAGATTCAATTTAATAAAACCAACTTGTATTCTTAAAAATGTTTAATATTCAGTACAAGAATACATAAAATTATACTTACTTTCATTTTTAAACTAAATAGTAGAAAAATTAATATTTTTTTAACAAGAGAAAAATATACGGTCACAAGGATGGCCCTTGTTTGGAGAAGTATAATTACTTCTAGGAAATTTCATTCAATTACAAGTATAATAGAAGAGTAATTATATAATGTATAATTTATACACTTAAGCAAACTTATTTGTTTGATACATTCTGGTAAAAAACTGTTTGAGGCAATACATGCTTGAACTCAATTTGTCTAACCAACTCATTTTAATCAACGTCGATTATTCATAAACGCATTATTAGCATTCTGTAATCTTGTATTGAAGTTCATCAAATTTTGTTGGGTTTGCGGTTGTTGCCAGTTGTTCATTTGATTAGCAGACATTAGCCCGCTATTACCTCCTTGAGAGCCAATACTACTAGTAAGTGGTCCAGATGCTCCATGCCAATTACCAGGTGGCAACCAATTACTGGGTCTGGTTTGAGATTGCATCGAGGGTTGTTGCGTCTGAGTAGGATTCCACATTGGTTTGTTCATAAGATTACTAGTAAGCATACTAGAATTTTGATTGTTACTCGTAGAAAACCCACTCATTTGGAAGTTGGATTTATTTTGCCAATTATCAAGTTGTGGTTTATCTCGAGACCACGATGATTGATTATTAGATTGAATTTGAGATTGATTATTCCATGGCTGGCGTAATTCAGTCGGTGGCGTAGGTGCCGGATCGTCACCCCATGGGTCCCTAGCATCTTCTGGTAAGTCATCCCACGAATCCTTATCCGCAGATCGAAAATCGAGTCTCGCAGGTTCGTGAATAGGTTCACGTCTAGGCTCGTTTCTTTGTTCTAATTTCATATCGTTTCTCCCAGAGTCTCGCATAAGAGGAGGGGCATCTTTCTTTTGGATATCCCAACTACTACCCGGTGGTTCAAAAGGTTTTTCTTTTTTAATATCCCATGAAGAATGACCACTTGATTCTTGTTGATATCTATAAATTAGAGAAAAAAGTATAATATAATAGTCGTCATCTAAATACTAGCCAAATTCAAAGATTATTCAATTTACCTCTTGTCCCAATGCGAAGATTGATTCGAAGACTGATAAGAAGGTTGATGGGAGGATTGATGGGAAGATTGATGAGAAGGTTGATGCGATTGTTGATGCGATTTTTGATGCAGAGATTGATGAGAAAGTTGATGAGAAGATTGAAGCAAAGATTGATGATTAGGTTGAAGCAAAGATTGATGATTAGGTTGAAGCAAAGGTTGAATTGATGGCTGTTGATTGTTTTGCCAGCTATTTGGTTTTTCCATGTCGGACCTATTTTGCATCCAATTATTATCCATAGAGCCTCTACTCGGAATGTCCCATTCGTCATTGAATCTTCGTGGGGAAGGCTGTCGATTCACTCTCTGGGGTGATGCTCCTCTAAAACGCTGAGGACTCGGTGCTCTACGTGGTGGTGATGCATGCTGCCGCCTCGGTGGGGATGGCTGTCTTCCTACATTTCCACGTCCTCCTCTGAAACCTGGTGAAATCGGTCGCCGTGGTGGTGACAATTGTCGTCGAACCGGCGATACAGGTCTACGTGGAGGTGACATAAGCCGCCGTGGAGGCGACATCAATCGTCTAATCGGAGAAAGCGGTCGCCTTGGTGGAGATAAAGGTCGACGTGGAGGAGAAAGCGGACGTCTAGGTGGCGACAATGGTCGCCGAGGTGGTGACATGAGCCTACGAGGTGGTGACATTAACCTACGTGGTGGAGACATGGGTCTACGCGGAGGAGACATCTGTCGTGGTGGAGAACGCAATAGAGGCCCACGAGTATGAGGTGAGTTAGTTCGACCCCAACGAGTATCGGACCGAGAGGATTCATTTTGAGAATATGATGGCTTGCCACGATCCCAACTTGTTTCCACTATAATTTTTTTGAATGAGTATATTAATTCGAATGGTTTCAATTAATTTTAATTCGTTGAGTAAAAACATATAATTTGTTGAATGATTACGTTGTTTAAGTAAATAATAGTATAATAGTATAATATATGCTCTTGAATATGAAATAAAATTTGTTACCTGGTCCTTGATTCGCTTGAAAACGATTTGGTCCGGGTTTTTGATATGGTCCACTCATTGGCTTTTGAACTACAGATGGTAAAATTTTTAAACGACTAGGTCTACAATCAACGGGTAAAATCTGATTCGGCTCAGCTGGAGGTACATTATGATATTTTTTAGTTTTTAATGCAAAATCTGGTCGCGAAGGTACATTTTTCGATTTTGAATCTTCACTATCTGCGGGTGCAATACGATCCCAAACGGATCGAGGAGGTAATTGACTCTGCAATTTGTTAGTTTTTCTGATAGCCAGATTCAACATTTCTTGGAGTTTTTGAATAGTACCCAAATCAACGGAATTGCCAACTCCTTTAATTTTAGATCCTACCGTCTCGAAGAGTTTATTTTGCTCTTTTATTTCATTCATTATTGTTGTTCGACTAGACAGTCTTTCACGCAAATCGCCTCCGGTTTCACGTAATCGTTTATCTACGAGTGGATTGATACGTAAGTCTTGCCCTGAAATTACACATGTATTAATATCTCAACAAAAAACATTCAGTCAATAATCATTAAAGTTTAGATATTGTAATAATACCATATTTATCGAGACCTTTGAATTTTTTTGAATTTGGTTCAAATTCTTTATCGGGAAATGGCCTTTTCAATCCTGGTTTTAGAGGAGCTTCTCCAAAACCTGGTTTCTTCAATATGTTTTTGACTAATCTAGGTGGTTGATATTGGGGAATGGGAAGCGTTCCAGGATTCTGTTGTTTTAGAGCAGCAGCCTGCTGTTTTGATTTGCTAATTAGCCCAACGGTATTGTTTACTCCAGGAACAGGAGAAACTTTTAGTAAATTCCTCATTGTCCTTCTTTCCATAGACATAACTATTTCATATCCAAATTGTTTGGGTGTAGTGTCGACAATGCAAGCTTTTATTGGAATAAATGGATTTCCATGTATTTCATCAGCAGGTTGAGTTAATTCTAAAATGGAACGAATTGCTTGCTTTGTCAAAGTTGTGATTATCACAATCCGCCCTAATGTTGGCATTTTTCGAAGCGATGATATGACGTCAATAGCTGTAAAAATAGTTATATTTAGTTTTCGTTTTGTTTTCACAAGATACCTTGATAAATTACTTAAATGATTGATAATTTTACTTACAACGCCCAAAAATATTATTTGTGTTGATAACTGCTACAGCTTTCAGATTTGTAATAGAATGCTTGATTTCTTGCATTACCATTTTTGGTTTACCAGTAACAAACGTGGCGTTTTTTATCTCATTCAATTCACAAGCCGCTTGAGCCTCTTTGATTTCTTTTTGAATATCAACACCAATTATTTTTTGACATCTCTGCAATATTTATAAAATGTTATTCAGTCGTTAAGTGAATAATTTATATGATTCCAAAAAAAAAGAAAAAAAATTACCGTCGCCAACATTAGACTGATTAAACCAGTGCCACATCCAATATCCAAAACTGTCATTTTCTTGGACACAACCAGAAACTCAGCAACAACATCAGCCAAAATATTTACCCCGTGTAAATTTGGCCAAATGTTTGTTTGAGGAGATAAAATAACTTTAACATCACCTACCAAATCTTCTAGATGTTTAGTACCACTCAAAAAAACATTTTCGGTTTCAATTTTCTTATTCTTTCTGTAAGACAATAATACCAATTCAAAATGAAATTGATCTTGAGGTAGTTCAAAAAATTTTTTAATAAAGAATTTCATCTACTTACTTAATGATATTCTTGCAATACACCGACTTAACATTGCATTCACTACCTGGACCAGTTTCAAAAAATGTCTTTACTTTGTCAATAAAGTCTTGTTTGAGGTTTTTACCAGTCACATTAATCATTATTTGCTGCTGGGTTGAGCTTCTGAATAATAGGTTGACTCCCTCTGAAAATGTTCTATTATATTCTTTAATAGGTGATTCTTTTTCACTCTCTGTGACAGCAGGAGTTGGAGAAGTTTCAGGTTGGCTAGCTTGGGTTTTATCAGCTTTTTCTTCATTTCCTTCTTCATCTTCTGGTTTTACATCAAGAGGCTCCTTCTCTGGCTCTTTTTCTGAAATTTCAGTTTTGGTGGCTTCTGGAGATTTAACATTGTCACTTTTTTTACTTTCTTCAGGAATTTTCTCAGGAACATTTTCGATATCAGGAGCATTTGTGATTGAGCCCTCAAGTGAATTTAGAAATTCTTCAAAGATCTACAAAAAATGTGGCATTGTGAAAAGAAAAACCTACTTATTATTAATAACTTAAAGAATGAATAATAGCTTGATATTGATTAGTAGAATTCGTTTAAAAAGTAAATATAATGATGACTTGTAAAACATCAAATAATGATATTTATAAATTTTAAAATCAAAATAAGAAAAAACAATGAATAATTATTCAAATTCGACTCGCGATGAATTTTACAGAATCAATTTTTTTAACTGGGAAAAAGTTCAATTTATAGCATATCGGTTTATTTTGCCCTGAAGAACGGTGATTAATCGTATATGTATTTAAATATAGAATCAAGATCTGTTACCGACATCCGTTCTTAATTTCAAGTTCTAGTAAATAATATTATTACTTATAGTTCAATAAATTGAACTCATGTTTGATATGTAAAAACTCATCTTATGTAAGACTTAGTTTGCAATTTAATGCAAATTTTGTCTTCATTTTTGTACACAAGGGATAGATGGATTCAACTTTTTGGCTTTTATAATCTTATCGCTCTCATCTCCTTTCAATGGATTAGATATATTTTTTGCCTTTTCTTCCTTCAAATGTAATTTCACAGCACATGATTTTTTCTCTTGAAGTGGAAGAATGGTACATTACACATACATTTTTCACAATACTATACACAGTACTTTGTTCATCATTGAGAACTCACATTTTCCAAGAAGTGTAGATGGTTATACTTCAGTCGTTTGCTTGCAAGTTTCAACTTTTTAATGATTGTTAAAATCATAAAATCATTATTGGTGCATTTTCTGTTTTCAAAAAACCTTGTATAAATGTTTGATTTTTGAAAAGTAGTTGTTGTATCCTTCCTTAATCTTCTTAAAACTTTGATGCATCCTCGACATAATTGATAGATATTGTAATCTTCATTCTTGAGATAATCTAAATAAATTTGATGTCGTAATTCTTTAGTCTGAGTTGTAGTAGGTTCATCTTAATCAAACTTGCTTCAGCTCTGTAAATACACTATCTACCATAGTTTATATTGGTTGCCGCACAACCAATATTCCATCTATCCTTTATACTTGTGTACAATTTATATTTTTTGCCATATGGCTGACTTATGAAAAGCTGCTATACCTTCACAACACGCATAATAAACGGCGGATATTCTTCTGCATTCTCCACATTGGCATCAGCATAACCAGGAACAATTACCCATTCAGATTGATTATCCTTGTTTTCAGAAGACTTATCAGTTGAATTATCCCCCTCCTTTGATGATTGTTGATTTACTTTTTTGTTGCCTAAACATGCCATAAAATTCATGACTTTCAATCTCCATATTTAATTTTCAAGATTATATTTAATATTGCCCATTTTTTGTTATGAGTAAAAGGCATTAAGTATAATTACATACAGAACCTTTTTTCCACTTTAAAAAAACAAACCTTAATATTTGTGTCGAGGCAGTTACAAAAATTTCTATATTTATTGATGTTAATGTAAACATCAAAACCAATCAAATTTTCTATTAAACAGTACTTTCATACTAGTTTAATATAATTTTGAATGATTGGTCAATTGATTAGCAAACAATCCAAATCATCAATGCTTAGCATTGTGACTTGATGATTTGCAAAGAATTTGTTGGAAACATCCATTAGATGTTGAAATCCAACAGACATTTTTTTATGAATATTGGTTAATTTAATTTTATTTAATGTCACAGACAGAAAAAGTTTCCAAGTACTTTCACTCAACTGCTTTGAAATATTTTCTTAGTTGTTCATTATACTATCAGTATTTTATGTAACACAAAATGACAAGATAGGACTTTTCTTCCAGAGTATCAGTTAACTTATTTCATACATATCTAAACACTATCACTCAAAGCACACCTCAATTTTTTATTTAGGACAACAAAAATTGTTTGAATAATTATGAATGTGTCCGTAATGTTTAATTTTATAAACTAATAATTATAATAAATAGTGTTTAGATAAAAAAAATGTCATTTAAGCATACTCACACATAAATTTCCATCTGTTAGGATACAATTTGTCCAGAGGGCTAAATCTTGAAGGTTCAACTTTACAAATAGCAGTACCAAATAAAGCTTCATTTTTATCCAGCCATTTCTTATACATTGGATAAGAGTATTGTATAATTTTGGCTAGTTTAGTAAACTTATCTTGAACACTTTGTTCTTTTTGCTCTAACTGAAATAGATAAAAATTTGTTATTTAATGTTGATAAAAATTTATAAGTTTAAAGAATGTCAAAAGATACATGAAAATGAAAATTAAAAAAATTTTTTTTTTCATATTGTTACAAGGGCATGCCCCATCACCCCCTTTCCTTTATGTATCAATATATAAATACTTAGTTTTTCATTTTCACATGTACTTAAACATTGCATTCATTGTATATTTTGATAAAAATAACTTACTTTATCTTTATACCACATTTCATTCTCTTTGAATTCTCGTTTTAAGACCATTTTTTTCACGATCTTTTTGGCAGCATTTTTTTCAATTTCTTCATCCCAATTTTCTGTTGGAGAAGATTCTGCTACATTTTTTCCATCTGATTCAGTTTCTGCAACCTCTTTATTTTCTTCTTTAATTTCTTTAACATCATTCTCTATAACAAAGGTATCAGAGTTAAGTGCTGAGTTTTCAATTTCATCACAACTTTTCATGATTTCTTCATCGGTCATTGCTTTTTTGTGGAAATTTTGTGAACCTTGGTTTGTTTGAGCCACTGATGGTTTATTGAGATAATTATTTTTTTGATGATTATTAGATTGAGTATCACCTGATGATTCTTTAGAAACAGAATTTTTACTTTCTTTAGAATCATCAAAAGTGATAACAATTGGAGTTTTTTTCTTAGTTGAATCAACTAATGTTTTTGATTTTGGCCCAGGTTTTTTTTGTGGGATCACTGCAACGACTTCAAGCTCCTGATCATTCTTTCCTTTATCGGATGCAGCCTTTGTTTCATCTTTGTTTGTTTTCTTGGGAGATTTGTCATTGGCTTCATCTTCAATGTTTTCAGAGAAATCCTTTGCAACGGTTTCGAGAAACTCGTTTTCAGTTACATCTATAGATACATCCAAAACTGTATCTGTGTTATCAGCACTATTTTCTTCCTCCAAGTTGGAACATTCTTTATCTCCAAACTCTAGACCTTCATTAGTTTCATCGTTATTGTCCTCAACATCTGGTTCATCATACTCGTAGTCATACTCACTTTTTTGATCCACATCGTCTTCATCACTGGCACACTCATCCAAAACTTCAAAGTCGCCAACATCCAACATGGGAATATCTGAGTCATCTGAAGATATAAAAAGTATAGGATCATTAAGAAGTTGTGTAAATAAAAACATTGGAGGTCAGAAATAAATAAGATATTTTCTAAACAAAATGTAAACATTAAATGAGAGAACAAATGAATTCATTGGAAAAGAAATTGAAAAATCTTAGAAAGTAAGGTCAATATGCATAGTCCGCCCAAAGAGGCAGAGACGATTATTCTCGAGGAAGAGGTTGGAGGTTAAGGATCGTTTCGTAGCCAACATATCAACATACGATGACTTTGCGAAGACGTCCGCGGGGCAAGGCTAGGGTGTATTCGAACAAAAAAAAAACGGTTATGCTTACCCATCTTAATGTGAATTCGAAAGCAACTCAATGGCGAGTTTTTTTATCGCAATAATCAATCTTGCATAAGCAGGTGACGCGGGTAGCTGCGACAGTTCATGTAGATACAGGTTCGCGCTGCACGTTACAGGAATGGCACTCGACGCTTTAGGCTGAGGCCGACTTTTCTCTCGAATCTCGATGCCCTAACGCGAATCTATATAATATGCGAGCTGCGACTCGACTCGGTGCGGTATCCTCGGCAATCCGATGATCACCTTACGTATAACTGCTGAATTCAGACGTTCCACGCTTACAATTATAAGCATCGCAGGCGCTGGCGTCGAGATATAAAACAAACTATACTGCATACCGATTACCGACCGAGTTTTCACAGTAACAGCCGCGTCACGCGCGTCTAGCGGCTATGGGAGCGCTGAGTCGCTGACGCAGCGAGTTCTGGCTCAAAATCTCGCCCAGTTTAGTTCGAAATCAAGTTTCTAGGTACTCGCTGTATAGGGTCGGCGCACAAATGTATAAGAATATAATGACGCTCGCCGGCTCTTCGTATAGTTTCGCAATGTTCACCGAAGAGGACGCAGATTCGCATTAGGGATTGAAAGTCGAAGAAGGAAGAATATAACGTTGATTTGCCATACTGCTTTAGTCAATCGCACGTAATAGCATGCCATATTGTCATTCGCGATGCGCCGAATACAGCCACGATGTCCTTATTAAATGCCGGTCTTGATGAATTTCGGATTGAAGATTAGCGGGCCATGTCGAGGATGATGCTCGTCTCTTTCAGCTCCGAAGTCGAACGAGTTTCGATTCGAGAACGTGCGCACGAGTTCTCGGCGATCAGGCTCGCTGCATTTGCTGTATTAAGCACCTGTGCCGGCAAATGCAGTTGTTGCGCACGTTCGAAAGCTTCACTAAATTTTTTTTTAAATTTTTGCTCTTTAGAAATGTTTAGGACTTTGCAAGATGAATATACTATTAGTAAACAGTCGTGTAACGGAAACTTGTTGAAGGGTCATTCGTTGGTAAACAAACAAAGAACCATTTATTCGCAGACTTTTAATTTTATTTATACAATCATATAGAAGTATGAATTTCCAATTCCATAATATAGATCATTCAATTAGGTGTAAACGTTGGGGACATTTAAAAATTGTATCGATTGAGAGCTCGTCGCTCGGTTTTGGTAATTCGTTCGTGACCGGCCTACGAAAGGCACGAAACAACAGTTAAATCGGCGTTAACAATAGTTGTCTCACAAATTAGAGGCTGAAGCGCTCGTGATCGATACAAAAAATGCACTATCTCAATGCACGCAGGTCGAAGTCGGATCTAAATGCGGTCTATCTACGATCGAAGCGACTCGAGCATTCGTCGCAAGCTGCAGCGGTCCTGTGCTCGTGTACTATTATGTACGAAAGCGTCGGAGCTTGGGCAAGCAGAGCACGTACTCGTGCGGGCGCGCTCGAAGCTCGAGGGAGCAATAGTTGCAGCGGTATACACTATAGCAGTCAGGCAGTGGATCGCACACAGGATGGCAGGGCGCAGACGCGTCGTTTATGGATTTTCCCTTACGAGCGGCGGCTTAGACTCGAGCCCGTCGCGGGGGAGTACACTCGGCACAGTCGGTGTATCCGTACAAGCTAGGCGATGTAGCAGCATATTGCGGAGCTGCAGCGTTGTTGTACGCCGCGTGTAAAACGTGTGTATGTGCCCCAGAGAGAGAGAGCGCAGAATCTCGTGGCTTGCGCGCGCCTCGAGTCCAGCTCGTAGCAAGTGCATATACACACAGCAAGTGGATGCTCCTCGCGAGCATGTGTGCGTGCGCCAGTGCCGCTCCTCGATCGTTCTTCAAAAAGTGCGCAAGTGCATCGGCAGCAGGAGTTTATACACACGGCTTGAAACTATAACGCCAAACGACAACGACAGAGGCAGTTCCAAGGCGGCGGAATAGCGGCCGCGCACGTTTCGTTCTCTCGTCCGACTGGCGTGCGCGATGTGCACGGGGAGATGCGCCGCCGCCACCACCACAGCCACTGCCTACTACGCTACAGCTACTACCGTTACTACTCGCATCTCGTCGCGCTACCGTCGCCGAGTCGATAAAACTGCACGGGGTTGATTTTCTCTCTCTCTCCAGCGTCGGCGCGTCTACATCTGTACGCTGCTGCTGCTTTAACAAGGGAGAGAGACAACTGTCACGCTGCCTGCTGCACTGTGCTCTTGTGTTTTGTAGCGCACAGATAGAGAGACACGACCTGGCGCCGCTCGCGATAACTGCACACAAAACGCGCACACACGGCCTAGGATACGGAGCACGATCTATCGCTGGCATCTCTTTCTCTCTCTATTTTTTGCCGAGTGTCGAGTGCAGCCGAGTAGTAGTTGAGCGCTCCCCCGCTCGAGTTGCAGCCTCGTGCTCGACACACACGACTTTGTGCTGCTGCTCTAGCCCATGCCGCTTCCTCCACGCAGTCGTCCACGGGAGGAGCTTTCATCGCGCCTGCAACGGCCAGCTTGTATCGTTGCATCGGCCAACGACGCATCGCAGCCAACCACGCCGCCGTCCGAGCACCCGCGACAGGTGAGCCTCTCTTTGCTTATTATTTAACTCGTTCCAGCGTCGCCCTTCCTTTCGTTATTACTATTTCATGACCGGTGCGTGTGGCTGGCACACACGTAAGAGCCGAAAAAAAAAGCTTCGTCCCCGAGACTATAGCAGCTCGGTCCTTGAGCTGAGTAACCCTGGCTAGCTGCACACGCACGCACGGGTACATGTGCTTTACGCGATTCCGATACGTCGTTTCGCCGCCGCGCACCGACTCTCTATATATATTTTTTATTGCTCGCAGGGAGTGTAAGCCAATTTTTTGCACGCGCGGCTATATAAGGAGCAGCTTTAATGAGCTTTGCCGAGGAAATGAAAAAACTTTTCTGCCCCTTTATATACACGCTCGCTCGCGCTCCCTGTAGATGCAACTCTCGCAGGCCAACGCTCTATTTTGCCTCTTTGACTTTTCAACGCTTTATTTTCTTCCTATACTCGTGCGGTATATAAGCGAGCTTTTTTCTCTTTTCCCGATTCGTGTGCTGCTCGACGAATCTCGCCTAGTCTTTTATCTCTAATTAGCTTTGACGCCACCAGCACGTGCATTCGACTTTTTATCGTAACTCCTGCGCGGCAAGGCTATAATAGTAACGACGACGACGATGATGATGATGATGCTGATGATGTAGATTACGGGAGAGAAAAAATAAATGACTCGATATATACTTTGTTGTACGACAAGCGAGCGCGCGGATAAAACGAAGCCAAAGTGTTACAACTTGTGAATGAGTTTTATGTCCAAGAGTGCATAAATCAATCCGGAGATCGTTTTTATATGCACAAAGTTGGAAAAACTACGCGCGACTTGGTTGCAGCGAGGATGTGTTGCCTTTTTTTGCGCGCTCTTTTTTATCGAACGCGGAATTATTATGCTGAAACTTCTCGTCGAACACTGGAGAATTAACTTTTCGAATCGAGAGAAAGGTAACTTTTCGAGGCAAGAAAAGTATTTACTATTCAATGTCAAGGTTCAAGGTGTATACCGTACACGCATTAAATAATTTCATCGCGTTAAAAAAAAAAAAAGAAAAAAATACATTATTTCTCTTGCAGAAAATGCATAGCATCGAAATTAAGTCGACTATGGCGATTATTGCGATTCACCACGGAGCGAAACATTAGACGATAAACACGGTATTCGATAAAAGTTTCAATTTATTTTCACGCTAAGCGCGCACGATTCATGTGCAATAAATAAAGCTGATTTAAGATTAACGTTACACTTGCTGATCGCGTTGTAATTATATAGGCGTGAACGTAAAATGAAAAAAAAGTAGGCGTACGGCACAACACGCTGCAAGCTGTGCGACGCTATGCACGAGCCTGATATATAAAATAATTACAACTCGGAGGCGTATGTCGCGAAAATAATTGGACGATTTTACGAGTATCGATTTAAGGCTAAGCGGCTGTTGTTTTTGAACTATCGACGCTTATTATTTTTCCACTTTAGATTTGTTTACTTAATCCCCGACGCGCGTGACTAAATAGCCCGAGTTTTCGTTCGAGTTGTCTCTTAATTATAATATAGTTGTGGCTTTAATAATTTATTGTTAATCGATCAAAAGGTCGACACTTGGTAAACAATACTTGTCAATCAGTCGTAGAGGTCGAGCGCAATAGCTCCGTTTATCGGGTTGACGAATAAACTTTGGACTATTTTCGCGAACTTCAACGCGCGAAATTTCAATGAAAGTATACTCTAAAGAACGACGATATTTGGTATATTGATTAAACAAAAAACAGTGGGACAAGTGTGTAGTCCGCAAGCTCATGCGACTTTTGTAATATTTTTGCAGACTCGTTGACACCGACGGAGTTTCGTAAAGCAGAGGCACAGTCTGTCCTCACGCACGCACACACACCCACACACACAACGGACACATTGACACGGAACTGCACGCGGTAGTCGTGTGTCAAAAGAGAGCCGAATGCTGAAATCACGAGCGCCGAGTATCATTGAAACAGAAGTAGTAGCAGCAGCAGAAACAGCGGCAGCAGTCAGCGTCAGCGAGGTGCTCGAGAGTCTCGCGCGACGAAGAATAGCGACTACCGCAGCCAACAAAAAAAGAATTGCGAGCTAGGTGCTTTGTCGACGACGCTGCTGCACCTGCGTAATAATATCGCCTTTCGCGATCTATCGTGTGTGTGCGTGTGCCGCTCGATTGATATTGTTGATGACGGAGCATTCGGCGCTTCTTTACGCAGACACGCCGTCGCCGCCACCGCTGCACTGCAACATCACAGTATTATCATTCAATCGACATGCCGCTGCCGCGTCTCACTCTCAAGCGAGTTTTCCTCTACATAGTCTGCTTGACCGGCACCTTTCTCGTCTTCGTCAACGTGAAGCAGAAGGAAATATGGCACGGAATGCGAGCTGAATCCGTTCAGCCGACCAAAACTGCCGCCGCCGCCGCGGCTGCGCTCGAAAACGCCAAAGTGAGTCGAATTCTTTTACTTATTTTTTCCTTTGATACATCATATTCCTCGTTATTATATTATATAGACTATGCAGTTGTACTTGTACGTATACTTTATGTGTGTACCAATTATCCTTGCGTTCAACTTCGTTCTGAAATTTTCTTATAAATGGATCTGCTAATTAATTATCCTGTTTTTTCCCATCTTCATTGAAAACCAGAAAACTACTTTCAAAGATAATTTTTTTCTTTATGGAAAATCATTCAGTAACTGGGTCATGGGAATATCGAATTTTCAAACCCGACAAGAAAAAAAGTGTCGATATTCGCGTTTCATTTTATTTATGTCTTCTTTATATCTCATCTATAGCCCACTAAGACCATCAATCGTACGTCTCTCTTCGTAGACTTTTTTATACTTGTTTTCTTATTAAAAATGATGTAATGCACGGTCTGTATTATGCTTTGAGCTTGCTTTATGACTATACAAATGTTGTAGAATATTTTCTTTAGGATCAGACACGGATTTTCTTGTCTGAATTGTTGAAAGTTTAGTACGGCGCACTATCATTTCGAGTATCACCAATTTAATGTTTTTCGATTCTTATCTAACTATGTATCGATCTTTCAAATGTAGCATAATAATTAAATAAATGGTTCAATTTAGATGTTATAACTGTAATTTCTTACATGTGTAATTTTCGCTGTAGTTAAAAATTTCTTGACCTAAGGTTTAGTCGATAAACGAGGGAGAAAAATTGATCGGTGGCGCTAATGGTGCGGCTGTCTCTAAAAATCGGTAATCGATGATCATGTATGAATGGCGTTTCTCGTCCAAACCTGTCAAACAACCAAAATGTATTCCATTAATTAAAATTGCTAACACGAATAGACCCAAATTCGTATAAAATTCGATTTGTTATTTAAAGTGGTATAGGGAGCTAAAAATAGTTATCGCATTAATGTTATTATTACCATGTGTTATTATAATGATTATCATCGGCTGTCATCATATAGATAAAGCTACTAATGGCACCTGTGAAAAGTGCGACGACGCAGCAGAAAATCTCGGTGCCGCGTGCCGGTCGATTGAGACCCGCGCGAAGAAAGCTGCCACTTGTCGAGGTAAAATTGTCAGTAGCGTGACGTCGATGTGCACAGTTTATATACGCATATATAATACATATGTACGTGAAAAAAATATGACGGAATAAAAATGAAAATCATCCGAGCGGTCGTCGTGTATGTGCGATCATAATGTTTATGAGAGCGTTATGACCGCATCAAAGTCTCGTGCGCGCATGAAAACGTTAAATTTTAACGTTTTAGCGTACCGTTCGTTCTGATTCGACGTAATGTCCCTCATATAAGCGTATATAAACACGACAAATTCGCGTCAAAAATGCTTAGAGATGGCACATTGGCGGTTTTATAAAACAATATGCAACATTAAAGTGTATGTATGTGTTTGTACCGTACGTGAAGATGTTGCAGAAAAAAACAAACTTGAAAGTTGCACTGCAGCATTGTGAGCACGCTCGAGCTTTACATATATGTACCCTTATTGTACTGACTATAGTGGCTTTGTATACATGTATTTTTCGATGAGACAATGACCCTACGACACCCACCCACACCTACTTGTACAAGCAACACACGAATTAGATTTTAAACTAGCTAGCGAACGTTTGGCATTATTTTGTTTTAGAGATACATTTTTTTCAATAAATTAAGCCTCATAAAAAAAAGGATTCTAACGTAGATTTTAGTTATACTCACATTAACTAGGTCGTTTATGTTTACAAAATATTTCGAATTTACTTTTTCCTTATTCATAACGGCTGGTGGCATATAAATTTACGTCAATACTTTTTCACTCCATGAAAATAATATTTGTATAAACAAAAAGTTCAACTTGAAATATACAACAAATAATCTGTGCTGACTAAATTCGTTCGTACAACAAATCAAATGGAAAAAGAGCAATATCAAAAAATTTTGAACAGCATTTTTTGAATTTTTCGTGCATGAAAATTCCAACTGAATTCATGATATTTCAGTAAAATAGTTATGTTATGGAAGGCTTTAAGGGTTTATCGGGTAAACATCGAATACATTTCTGAAATAAGTGGAATATTTTAAAATTCCAGAAAACTTTTTTTACAAATAAAAATCGAAATAAAAATCGAACTTCTAACACTGCTTTTTTATTTTCCAAGCTGCTTTACAATTCACTGATCAATCAATATAATACACAAAAATAAAGTTGCTTATCTGCACTTTATCAAAACTCTACCAGGCAAATACAACAAAATCAATGATATAGTATGCATTTTTTCGCAAATAGTGTATAGTGCAATGGTATGAAACAAGCGAAACATAGGCAATAGAAACTTAGATGAAAAAAAAAGTTATAAGCAGACGTCCAAGAACAGCTGCAAGAAGTGAAACTTCTTTATAAACGAAGTAAAAAAGTGAAACAAATTAAAAAGAAAATTCGGAAGTTAAAAGTTTCGCTTTTAGTGATGTTTTCCAAGTTGAATGTTGAATTTTTGCTCGGGTCTGCTTTCACGGTCGTATACGCGGTAAATGCACTGAAGCCCGTATAAATACGCGCCATACCGAAACAGTACACCACCAAGCGTGAGACAGATACAAAGAAATGGTTCGTTCAACGGCTCTCAAAGAGTGTGTCTGTCTTGCGATGGCCATGATACTTGTACTCGTCCTTTAATCTTATCGAGTCGATTTCTTATACTCGGCGAGCCAAAAGAAGTTTCACTTCAATAACGTTGCATTTATTGCGTGAAATTATAATTCGTTGATTCATGAATATTTGTCAGGTCTCCAATGTTACTGGCTCGTTTAATCCGGAAGACATAATCGATATCAGCGATCCGTCTAAGAGGCCGTGGTACATGAAAGGCGGTCAAAGGAGACCGCATGCTGCTTTGAGATCTCGTCGCAGTGGTAAGCGCTTGGCTCGTCTTTGGCCCGAAGAAAATCCAAATGACGATCGTGTTACTAATCAGGTAAAGTTCGAAATCCACTTGGCCACAATCTTAGGGCTCAAAATAAATTTGAAAATTTGAGGCTTCATCTAACGCATATAATTTTCAATTTTTTAGTTGATGTTTGTACCACCGGATTACAATAGGTCAAACCACGAAATACGTTTCAAGAAAATTTACATTCCGCACGGAATGAATGAAGCCAAAAGTGGTCCGGATCTTTTCTTCCAACAAGGATGTCCTGTAAATACGTGTTTGATTACACGCGACAATCCTAACGACGCCGACTTGATCATTTTCAAAGATTACGTTACACACGTCGGAAAGCGTAATCCTAATCAAGTGAGTCAATCTATGTAACATAATGCTTATATTTTTGAATTTTGTTGTGTATTGATCTTTAAATTCAATTAATATGATGCTGCTTCGATTAGGCTTGGATGCTGTACTTTTTGGAGTGCCCTTATCACACTCAAAGCGTCAAGAACGCAATTGTGAATTGGACAGCAACATACCGGCATGACAGTGACATAGTGGCGCCCTATGAAAGATGGCAGTATCACAACCCAAAAGTCACACAAATTCCACAGAGCTTCAATTATGCTGCCAATAAAACAAAGAAGGTTCGGACAACATCAATTTTTTTCAACTCTTACTGTGCGCACACTATAATAAGCGTAATTTTCTACAGGTTGCATGGTTCGTGTCAAACTGCCATCCCAGAAATCAGCGAATGAACTATGCCAAAGAACTTTCCAAATACATTCAAGTCGACATTTATGGAGCTTGCGGTACATTGAGATGTTCAAGATCACAAGCTCAGGCCTGCTTTGGGATGCTCGACGCCGACTACAAATTTTACTTGGCCTTTGAAAATTCCAACTGCCGAGATTATATTACAGAAAAGTTTTTCGTCAATGGTCTAGGGTAAGGAGCTTCTTCAATCGGAGATTTTTTTTTAATTTAACGTTAATCACGGAGAGGAATGATTAAAAAATACCTTTACATAACAGGCACAATGTACTGCCGATCGTGATGGGCGCGCATCCGGTGGATTACGCTCGCGCCGCTCCCTATCGATCGTACATCCACGTGGACGAGTTCGAGTCGCCGAAGGAGTTGGCCCAGTACCTGCATCGTCTCGACGCCGACGACGAGCTCTACAACTCGTATTTCCGCTGGAAGGGCACGGGCGAGTTCATCAACACGTACTTCTGGTGTCGGGTCTGCGCCATGCTCCACGACTCGCAGCGCAGCCACAAGCACTACAAGGACGTGAACGAGTGGTGGCGCGGAGAGGGCATCTGCGCGCCCAACTCCTGGCGCGAGCTCGAGCACCTGAAGAACACCTGAGAGCAACTGATGAACAGTACCGAGCCGGTAGCTGTGGACGATCCTTACGATTTGAACGGCAACGCCGTTTCGTGATCGACGACGACGATCGCCGCCTCCTCGTTGGACGAGGACGAGGAGTATCGCGAGTACAGTCCCGAGTACGAGGAACAGATACTCTACAAATGATCTTGTTGCTAAACAACGATTGCGGTCGTCGAGAAAAGCATAGATACCAACTTTTTCAACGATTTTCCAAATGATTCGCACTTTTGTTAAAAAAAAAGTCAAAAAAAAAACAAACGAAAAATTAACGGTAAGCACAAACGTTAACGCACAAATGATGTTATTCATTTTGACATTCGTACCAGTGCGAAAAAAGCTGTATCTATTTAACTACAAGGTTTTCTCAATTGTCGATTTGATAACGCGATCGACGTGAGAGAGAAAAAAATTCAATGGAGCTAGTACATGACAGGAAGTTTTTATAAAAATTTTGACATCGGGTATCATTAATTTTCTGTAGGACATTAATACTGTATGACTATGTAACATTTAAGACACTCAGGTTACCGCTAGTCTGATAGGCTTTTAAATACCATGTCTACAGCAGAAAATCATTTATAATGAAATGTGCAATTTAAAGCGTTGATTATTGTGTTACATTATCATTTAAAGCTGCACAGGATTGGCTCTGTGTGTTGATAAAAGTAGCTTATTATAAAGAAACTATACATACTGTTTATCAAAGATAAATCGATAAGAAGATGATAGCGGCTCAAAGCCACTAAATATTTTTTTAGAATTACAAGATTAAATATAAAAATTGAATTGAAAGAAAGGAATTCTAACGAGATTTGAATAATTGTCTTAGGTTAATGCAATATTATACACGAGTTAGCGTGGTCATGTAAAAATGAAGAAAATACTGTGTATTGATATGTGTAAGTAAGTATGCGTTAGAAAAAATCGTTGAAAATCAATTATTTTTTTATTTGAATCAATTAAAAAATTAATTATTAAAAATTTTCGTGGTAATTTTTTGCAAATGAATTGTGAAAATTTGCTCTTATTGCCAAAAAGAGAATCACTTTAACGTGTAGTTGAATTTTTCTGTGAAGTTCAAGTGTGCCTATTTGACCGACGAATAGACACCTTCAAAATTCAAACTTTCATCTTGAATAGTATTGTCGAATTAAATGAAGAACATTTTTCAGTCCACAATTATTTAAGTTTTTGGGCCAATTAATATAGTTCCTAGTACATATTAAACATTCGTGTGATTTAAATTCAATCTGTTGATATTTTTTAACGTATTGCGAAATTGTGGCGAAAATGATTTTGGCAAGATAACAGATTCAAACGCGCAAATCATTCAAAACCAGGTTCCTTAATTATTTTTACTGAAAACTAGAAAATAAAAAAAAATTTAGTATAAAAAGAGTAGTTTTTACCGAAGACAATTTTCATTAGCAAATGAAAACAATTTTCCTTAGTGAACGTATACTCCATTCAAAAATATTGCTTATTTTTGATGAGACAATCTTAATTAATCTATGAAAAAGAATAATGAACATCGTAAAATCTAGCAGCATCATTATCCGTAAATGAATTTTATGAACAGGTTTGGCATTAACTTATTTTACAAACGACTTTTTTTCACTTTTGATATTTAAATGTACTGCAGGATTTAATGTATATACTATATACATATACACTAATTACAAATGAATCGTATTGAGAGGAAAGGTCAATAACATTGTTTAAAAAAGTTTGTAATCACATTATCGAAGATGAAGCACAATTTTAATGTTTTTACAATTACAACAATTTATTTCGATAATCAAAAGTTTCAAGAATTTTCAGTATTATTTATGGTATTAATAATATTAAGAATTACGAGTTGATCTCGTTTTTGTGATTTTAAAGTATTTTTATTTTTAATTAAAATAATTATTAATTAACAAAAACGGATGTTATAGTTTAATTATGCAAATCTAATTTGTAACCATGATCAGATAGCACATCGAAAAATAGCCTACATAATATAAGATAAAAAATTCTATTATAAAGAGGTTGTAGAAAAAAATCTTCGATGGTCGCCGAATTAGTTTTTTTGTTGGTAAAAACAAATTTAACTATATTGAAAAAATGTATCTTTTACTAGATTTATAGCGAATTTTTATTTTATTTTGTACAGTAGAGAATGACTGACGTATATCGTGATATATCGAGGAATGAAGTTTTAGTTAATTCATTGTTATTTTGAAAATTAATGGATGTACCATATACTGTACTTAATGTATCCAGTCAACTAGTTTTAAGAATTGTAAATAGTCGGATGTAAGGTGTTAATCGTTATTTATTTGTTTTTGGGTTGTATAAAGCCCGCGAACGAAAATGTGAATTGTATTATGAACTTAAGAGAATAAGGATATGTTACACAACTTAATGATTCAGGAGTTACAATTGGAAAACTTTTCTCTCATATGAAGAAAAAAATACCAAAATCATTGCTGTATACAGTAATATATATCTAAGAGTAGATAAAATTATACATAGTGAATGTAATAACTTCAAAGAAGTAAGATGTAGTAAATAAACGAGCATTTCGTTGTTTTTAGATATGGAACAACAATTTTTATTGTTTCAAGTCAATACACATTATATTTTGTGGAAATGCATATCAATAGTGATATCGTAGTTATTTTTAATTGTGATAATATTTTTATGGTTCAAGAAATTGTAAAGTGGTGAGATACTGATTTTTAAGAGTGTTAGAAAATTGGAGCTTCAGTTGAATTGTGAAAAATTGTAATTATGAGAGCAAATTTTTTATTTTATTCGTTTGTAGTGCTCTGACTAGTGATCTTAATATTTATTTGCGCAAAGTATTTAACTTTACAAATGAAATTCCAATTCTTCATAATCGTAAGGATGTTTTATAGAAGTACAACCCATAATAAATTTTGATAGATTTGAAGTTTATCAAATAAAAAAATATATGCTCATTAGCAGTGGTTTATTATTCATGAAAAATGTCACTCAAATATGCTTTTTTGTTATTAAAAAAATTTCTGACAACTTTTTCTTTATTATGATTTTAGCTTATTGTAAAATTGAATTAACTGTTCAAGTAAATCATTCGATTAAAACTTTAATATCGACAAAGAAAAAAGTGAAAATACTGTACTGGAAGACGGCAAGTTACGAAGTATGAAATCTCCTTGGCCATGGCTGAGGCAACACGAGGCGTGGTTGAAATCGCGCGAGTTGGGGTCGGCTGTGTCTCTTGATTCCCCGCAGCTGCATTCTAGCTATGCACGTATGCTCCGGAGAATTCAGCGCGATGCACATTGTATTATAAACTAGCGCAAAGCCACTTGGCCGCAGTACTCGCTCGCCTCGGAGAGAGCCAAGGAATATTCATTAGCGTAATTAAAATTGGTTTGCGTGCTAGTATATTTACACCTTCGGCTCGGTGTGAGCGTGTAGATATACTCGCTGACATTCGATGTGCAATTCTTTTCCTTCTGACTATGCGTTCGTTCACAATGTTTATATGATTTGATAATTAATTATTTAGTTTAAATTTTATTGTTCAAACAACAATCTTATCGCAAGTCAACCAATGCGTACATTTAGAGAAAATTAATTGATTGCTTTATGAACATTGAATGTGATTTAGAAATTAATATTTATTTAATAATATCATCTAATAATATTATTTTATTTTCAATATTAAGAATAACAATATAGAAATTACATAATCATCTAAAAGATTACCAAATCCTAGGTAGAAAATCTTTAATAATGTTTAATAATCGATATGAAGGCACCAGTTTACTCGGAGAGAAAACAATTTTGTTAATAGAGTACTTGCGATCAAAAGGCTTAGTCCAGTGAAAAAAAAAATAAAAAAATGTATAACATACAGAGTGAGAGATGGAGTATTTTTTTCAATTAACGAGATTTTCAACGAAATGCTCATCAAACTCTTGGTCTGTAGCGCAAAAAGGCTTGTGCTTGCGGAAAAAAGAAGAAAACAATGTATGCTCGCACGTTGAACAAAACAACAACGGATAGCACACACAGACCCACACAGAGCGAGTACATCTATACGTATTCAGAGAAGCGAGAGGAGCCGGGAATCGGAGGGCAGTTTTTTTTTCTCCCTCTTTCTTTCTCTGTAGCATCCAGCAGTCGCAAGCAGCATTTTTATGGTTTACTGCACTCGCTTCTCGCGGTTTGATTCAATTCGCACGCTCCATCGGCCACGTACTGCCTGCGATCTAGCGACTCCCCTCGTCCTTACCTATAGCCAATATTCGTCTTTGGTTTGTGTGTACAATATCGAAGCTTTGAATATAATATGGAAGAGCGTTCGCCATTGTTCGTCCGTGCTATACACACGTTTTTTGTGTTTAACCACTCAGTTATACCCAATATATTCAAATTGCAATAGGCACGATTAACAATGGCAGCTTTTGACAAATTTCTTCCGATAATCGTGAATAATTGAGAGTAATTCTTTCATTTCTAATTAATTTAAGGCAGAAAACGGGGGCTCTCTTTAAGTTTAATTTACGTTTCAACTCTAGAGCATAATTCGATAAACTACAGTTTGTATAAGCATTGGTATAAAATGATACATGACGCGACAAATTAAAAACTGCGTATTATTGAATAATCGTGCTTTCAGCGACAAAGGCCTGCACGTATAATATATTTGTATTTTACAAGGACTTTATGTACTAATAGTATTCATGCACGAACGAGCTTGGTCAGAGTCTCTGCGAGCTGGCCTCTCTCTGTACATGTGTGCAGCAAAACGATCCGAGAGTGGCATTATTGACTGCAACACATCGAACTCTGTTGTCGTCTCTCGTCTCCCTCTCTCTCTTCCTCTCTCTCTCTCAGCCACGTGTGCATTGCACATTACATATAGCGCATACACGAGGTAGCAGAGCACACAGGAGCGCGAATTAATCGAATCACAGCGATATAATATAAGCTCGCTTGGTCTGCACAGAGTCTATATAGCCCGGGCTATTCGTGCACCGCCGCTCGTCCATTAGGCTTGCCGTATACCTACACACACACACACACGGAGACGCACGTGTATAAACTCGCGCAGCTCGTCTGCCTACAATAATATCTTGCCACGGATGGACCTTACATTTGCATGTGAATGTCCGTGTGCGCGACCATACAGGATGCGTAGAACAATGTGCATGTGCGAATATGTATAAAGGGATCTGGAAATAAGTAAGGGAGTCGAGCTAAGGCGCTTTTACGGAGCAAGTGTCCCGACACGCGTGCAGTCCGTTCGCTCCTTTATCTATATATATTATATGCACATGCGAGCGAGCTGGTGGAGTGTGTGCGCGAGGCGTCGGGCAATGAAACAGTTGGAAATACGAAGGATTCGCTCGCTCTCCCTTTCTCTCTCTCTCTCGTTAACTGTAATTTGCCCCCGAGAAAGCTCGAGTCGAGGCTTTCTTACTTAGTTTGCACCCAGTAGTGTGCAAACTCGCCCCGAGTAACTGGTACACGCGCTCTCCCTTTGCGTGTTCCAGCTCGTATTGGATTTCTGTTTCTCTTGTTATACGTACTTATAAGCTTCGTCGTCGCCGTAAATGTGGCTCTCTCTCGTCTATAGCAGTCTATATAGTCGACGTGCGTACTATATAGAGTACTGCACCTTTCTCCGCTGCTCGCAGTGCAACTGTATACATTAAGAAGCTACAGGTATATAATACACGTACTCTTGGCCGACGAAAAGTTTGCTTCTCGTGCGGCGCGTGTAGCTGCTGCTGCTGCTGCTGCCAGTCAACAACTATAAGTGGACAATCGTGTAAAGGAAACCGAGTAGATAATAAGTTTTGCTTAATTTGTTCAACGGCCACAAGCGCGTCAGCAATTTCGAACTACGTCTCGGGACAATTTTTATTTCATTTTTGTAATTGACGCGATCGCGTTTCGAACCATCGCTGCTGTTATTTTCGCTTTTTTTGTCGCGAAATTTTCGTTTCGCTTTTTTCGAATAAAATTTCAAACTTTGCCACGAACGCTGCTGCGAGTGATATTGGATTTTGTCGCGTATTCCTGGCCTAGATTGTCAAAGAATTACGACACCTGTAATTGATACTATACTCTTTGAAAAACAATCCGTCTGATTAAAGCCCCGTAGCGGTGCGCTGCGGCGTACAATACATTTCAAAAATTCAAAAATCCACGCTATGTTGCGTGTATAGTCTTACAACTAGCTAATACAGGATGCAAAAATAAATATCGTAAAGCAAGATGACGTGCCGGAAAAGTGACTCTGTATATATATGAATTATTTATCTTGTCTTGTATACGAAAGCGTCGTTATGTCACGAACTTATCAGAGCACGTCAAAGCAAATTTTTTCACTAAAATTCTCGTTAGCGTGTTGCGCGCCAGTCTATTGCATATTTGCTCGTCTAAAAACTCCTTTTTTCACATTATATAATATATATATGAGCCAAAGAAAACGGCGCGCACAAAAGCTGAGTAGTCTGCACGTATAACACACAAGTGTGGTGGCTCAGCTACCGTGCGCCCGGCTACAGTAGCAAAATTGACTCATCATCTTGTATGAAAACCCCCGAAAGCTTTACTGCCAAAGCACAAACAGGTCGCGATGCGCATGTAAGCGTGCCTCCGATACACGTATAAGCCGGGGGTGAAAAAGACGCAAATCTGGGCGACAAGATACGTCTCTTCGTATCACGCGGAGACATCTTTTTTGCGCGTGCTTTACAGCCGCTCGGCGCTGTAGCAGTATGGCGCAACAGTAGGCTCTCACACAAGAGAAGTCGATTTTACGCACAAATTAACACTCTCAGACGATATGTCTTCGCTTGGTTTGCTAAATTGCCCAAGCGAATTAGCTGCGCCTTGTTAGAGTGTTAAAGCGTGCATGCACAAGCTCGGCTGAGGGGAGATAGAAAAGAGAGAGAGAGAGGCATAATGGCAAACTGTGTACATTAGCGAGTAAATTATATTTTGTCGCATACGCATTTTATGCCGTTATTGAGCGATAATCCCGTTCACGCGCGCATTTGCGCGCGAGATATTCTTTGATGACGATGGAGC